GGGGATTTTAAAAAGCAGAAGTCAGAAAAATACGTATCGCGATCAGTCAAAGACGATGATCATGAGATGCCAAAGAAAAGCCTGGGATATCATATTATAGCAATCAAAATATTTCAAGCTGATGTCTAGTTATATTATAAAAATCTCCCTCCAAAATCATGCTATCCAATTTCAATGGGACAAAATTTCGAATAGAATGGGTTTCCTTGTGCAAGTAGCTGTGGAAATACACTGATGGTCGAGAGAGGAGGAGAAGGGGAGGGAGAAAACGAAGTAATAAAAAACAGAATTCAGCGATCTAAGCAAAAGATAGTATTTTAAAGCAGCTATGAAAGCTGCACATTAAAATTCCACAAGCAGAAATATAGAAGACTTAAGTCCAGGACTAATGCTAGCTAAAACTTATTCCTCTACCCCTTCCCCCCTCTCAAGCATCGAAAGTCTGGGACTCCGAAAAGCACCATTTATTTCAAATATTGTAGAAAAACAAGAAAAAAAAAAAACAAAATCAGCGCGAGAACCGTCGACCAAGGGTGTTGAATGTATCCTACATTTTCTCTGGTGAATTAGCAAATTACACATTTACCTAAAGATTAGCAGTGTTCATGCTGAAGATTAACGTTAGTCAAAACTAAAAAAAAAAAAAACCAACCAAATACATTTCTCTCGCTGTACAATGTCGCTTGATATTCAAAGATAACGGATTTCCATCGGGCAATAATATGCGCATGTGAACGTCAGCAGCAGCGCATTCCGGTGACGGATCTTCCATCAAAAATTCCTAGAAATTCACGGAATAGCAAAGTTATGATTCTCAAGCACTGCTTAAATTCGCACAGTTCTAAATTTTAGCCAACCATCTGCCAAAGAACTACGGAGAAATGAAAGCAAATGAAACAGAAATAAATGAGCTACAGTTGCACGCAAGAAGATATCCATCCTCCCAAACCCCGCCTAGCAAAATTTTTTAGGAATCACACAAAATAAAAAAAAAAAAAAAATTAAGGGACATATTTGTCTGCTGACTAAATTTTTCGCAAAACTCGGCTAAATTTTCCGAAAAACAATCCAAGAAAATTCAGGCCACAGTACTCATTCCTCCTCCTGCCGATATTTTTTCGAAAAACCATT